GCACAAACGCATCAGCCCGCCCAGGCTGTGCCCAGCCGATGCCCATGCTGCTGGCCTGGGGGCACACGCCACACGACACCTTGGCTGGACGCCTGAGAATGTGGGGGCTTGGGCTTCCTTCTGTGGCTACTGGAAGCCATTGAAGGTTCTGGAGTGAGAGCAAGAGCTGTCCGGAGCAGAGTGGCGGAGTCGCGGTGATCTGGCAGGAGCTAGATAGACCAGCAGAGGGAGAGGTCAGGACATGGCCTTCCCTAGGCTTGGCAGAGACAGGAAGTGGCAGGGTCAGAGCAAAGTTGCTTTTGTGTTTGTAGAGTGGTACTTTTTCTTTGTTTCTTTTGGATTGAGTAAGAAGGATGCTGGCGCTCACCTCTCCTCTAGCAGAGACCCCTCACCCCCCACCCGCACCTCCTCTGCTGGCCTGGACCTGCTCCCCTCCTTGAATTCCGGGGGCTGTCTGCATAGGGCCAGTCCCGTGCACTCGGGCTCCCTGAGAACCATTTGCCGCATTGTGCAGCTCACCGTTTCTCTGGAATCCAGGTCTTTCCCAGTCCAGGCCCCCTGATGCTTTTTTGTGAGATGCTTCCACACAGCCCTGTTGACTTTTCTCCCCCCAGGAACCTTCCCCGACCCCAGTGTTGCCTGAAAGCCCTCACGCCCCGTGCACGGGCCCATCACGGTGTGCACCCAGAGCCGGGGCCCCTGGCCTCCCCGCCGATAGGTCTGGTCCCGTCAGGCTGATGGAGCTCGTGGTGACTAGGCACAGACTGTGTTTGTCTCGTGCGGCAGTGCCTCTTGGCTTCTCGTTACGGAAATTACCCAGCACTCATGGGACTTTTCTTTTGGGTGGGGGAGGGGATTTTGTTCTTTATGACAATGATGGACATTTTACTGAAGCATTTATTTTCATATTTCCTTTTTTAAAAGGATTTCTGATGTCTAGATTTGTTCTTAATTTTCAATGATAGCCTAGCATTTTTCATATCTGTGATCTAAATCCTGTCCTTCCAACATCCCCTCAGAGACTACCTAGCATATAAAATTATTTTTAAAATTAACATAAACTTTGATTAATCTTGCTGTGTAATTTGTGGGAAAGGCATTAAGAGAACCGTCATTAAGGTGAATAATTTTATCTGGAGTACCAGAAAATATTCATGGTCAGTACTGTGGTTTTTCAGTATTTATATGAAAGGAATATTAAGCACGGAAGAGAGATTACGTTTTGGAAGAGGGACAGCAGCATGGGGGAGTGCACGGAAGCCGGCGGGCTGCAAAAGGAATGGACCTGCTGTCTGCAGGTTTCTCCAGGTCATCTAGAAAGAGTTGGGGCAGAATGCACACACGGCGCTTGTGGTCTTCTATAGGTCATGGTCCACTTTCCTCTTGTCTTCTTAGTGGCTTCTTCATTTTTAAATGTTCTATATTTTCTTTTCTTTAAGATTTATTTATTTGAGATAGAGCAAGAAACAGAGAGTGCACAAGCAGGGGGCAGAGGCAGAGGGAGAAGCAAACTCCCCGCTGAGCAGGGAGCCCGACGCGGGGCTCGATCTCAGGACCCCAGGATCATGACCTGAACCGAAGGCAGACACTTCATCGACTAAGCCCCCCAGGCGCCCAGTATTCCATGTTTTCTACAGTAAGCGTGCACCGTAAGGATTACAAATGTCAGTAGACCTTTGAATAGAAAGGATTTCTTCCGTGTACACTGGGATGACCGTTGTCCGGGGTGCCTGTGGTCTGAACCCCATTTCTGGTAGTCCTGGGATTGTGGGGCTCGATGCACAGTGTGTGGCGTTGTTGGTCTTTGTTTCGAGCACCCCTGCCCATGCCACCCTGCACAGAAGCAGGACCTCGAGTGCCTCCGGGACAAGCTGCACAGGCCTTCGTGGCTCCGGTGAGCTGCGTGCCCACCTGCCCATCCTGGCTCGTTCCAAGGCCAGAACTGTCCCTGCCACACAGCCGTCCCGACAAAAGCCCACGTCCAGTGTGAGGGAGTGATTCCGGGGTGGCTCAGCGCGTGCCCGTGGTGCACTCACTCGGTGCTCGCGGCTCTGCTCGGGGGGCCAGGGTGGGACAGCCAGGAACCGGAGGTGGTGGGGTGGTTTCAGCTGGGCCCTGGGGCTGGGGCATTGTGTTCCTCTGTCCTGCCATCTCGTGTGGCCTGTGTACTCGCGGCCCCATCATCTCGAGCAACTGGGTGATTTAAAGCCACCCGAGGGGTGCCAGGGTGACATGCTCTGTTGGCGAAGCGTCCACCTTCGGCTCAGGTCATGATCTCAGGGTCCTGGGATGGAGCCCCGTGTCGGGCTCCCTGCTCAGCGGGGAGCCTGCTTGTGCTCGTTCACTCCCTCTCTCCGTCAAATAAAAAAGTGAAATCTTAAAAATAAATAAATAAATAAAGCCACCTGAGTGTGTGTGTGAAAAGAAACCCCACAATCCAGCGAAAAGGAGGATCTTAAACCTGCTTGCAGTTCTGTTGCCGCTGGGTCTGGTTGAAGCGGAGCCAGAGGCGCAGTGACTGTGTGTGCACACTGGGTGGCGCCAGAGCGCTCGGTCCCCAGAGCCTTCCTGTCCAGCATCCGCCCAGGGTTGGGATTGATGCACACACCGGTGCCCAAGGTCCTCCTTTCTCTTATCAACAAGTTTGAGCCAGGGGAGGGGCTGACAAGCAGGAAGGAGCTGGAACCTTGCCTAATACGTTCATTATGCCCTAGGAAGTTCAGAGGACCTGCTGCAAGCGCCTTTGTTTTAGGAAAACATCACTGTTCCCAATATCCATGAGATCCTTGTTTATAGCTTATAGGTGTAACCTCATCACCGTGTTATCATTTGTTCTTTTTAATTTTTTTAAAGATTTTGTGTATTTATTTGACAGAGAGATCACAAGTAGACAGAGCAGCAGGCGGTGGGTGGGTGGAGGGGGAGTAGGCTCCCTGCTGAGCAGAGAGCCCGATGCAGAGCTCAATCCCAGGACCCTAAGACCATAATCTGAGCCGAAGGCAGAGGCTTTAACCCAGTGAGCCACCCAGGCGCCCCTCATTTGTTCTTTTTCAAAAAAAACTTTTTGGAAGCCTGGGTGGCTCAGTGGGTTAAAGCCTCTGCCTTCGGCTCGGGTCATGATCCCGGGGTCCTGGGATCGAGCCTCACATTGGGCTCTCTGCTCAGCTGGGAGACTGCTTCCCTTCCTCTCTCTCTCTACCTGCCTCTCTACCTGGTTGTGATCTCTGTCAAATAAATAAAATCTTTTTTAAAAAATTTTTTAACATTTTATTTGCACGTGAGAGAGAACAAGCACGAGCAGGGGGAAGGGGCAGAGGCAGAGGGAGAAGCAGGCTCCCCGCTCAACAAGGAGCCCAATGCAGGACTTGATCCCAGGACCCTGAGAATCATGACCTGAGCTGAAGGCAGATGCTTAACCAACTGAGCCACCCAGGTGCCCCTGTTACTTTTTTTTTAAAGCCCTTAATTCATACTACAACTGTTGACTGTGTCTTCTTGAAATAGATTTGCATCTGTGTGGATTATCCTTTTAAAAAAGAGGAAACATGCTTACGCTTGGAACGCTGCTACCCCAGTAAGCCAGCCCGTACCCCAGTCTTGCCAGTTGCAGGGTTGGAAGATGTTGCCAGAAAGGACGAGGCATTTTCCTTTCCTAGCCTCCTTTTTTTATTTGTCTGACTTTGCCTCCACTCTCCATTCTAGTTTCTTTCCTTCATTAATTAACTATAAAAGAAGATGAAAGAAATTGTGGATATGGTAGCACAAAAAAAGACATCTGAAAATGAAATTCACATGGCCAGAACCTTTCTTACAAGGATTCTGAGGAACTCTATGAGGTACAGTTTGGTTTTCAGTCCCTTTACTTCTGCGGTGTGATGAATTTGTCTCTTCTGTGGTTTTGTTCATGGGGAAACTCCTGAAGTCAACACATTCCACATGTCCGTACCCAGAGAGGCACATTTTGAGGTCTTTTCTGTGTTCTTGAAGGGGATGTAGGCTGTCCAGAGCAAGCAAGTTCTTTTTTTTTTTTTTTTAAGATTTTATTTATTTATTTGACAGAGATCATAAGTAGGCATAGAGGCAGGCTGAGCAGGGAGTCCGATGTGGGGCTTGATCCCAGGACCCTGGGATCATGACCCGAGCTGAAGGCAGAAGCTTTAACCCACTGAACCACCCAGGCGCCCCGAGCGAGCAAGTTCTGTGCCACACAGGAGAAGCGGAGAGTGGGAGCACCAGGTTGGTGGGCCGCCTGCTCACGCCGCAGCCTTCTCTCGGAGGCTGTCAGGTTTTCACGGCAGCCCTGCGGACTTCTGACTCCAGTTCCTTTCCCACACCCAGGCAGTGCAGCCAAAACACCAGTGCGCCCGCCGCGGGGCGGTGGGGACCGTGGGGTGGGAGCCCGGGCAGGGTGGGTTGCCGCCTGTAGGTCTAGGACCTCACGTTCCCGGAATGGGGACCCTTAGCCGACTTCGCAGATGCTCCGAGGGGCCCAGGGGAGTGAACACACGTCCGCAGGTCTTTGTTCACGTAAGTAAGTGTCTGTGTTTCCTGGGTCAAGTGAGTAAGTCGCGGCAGCCTAAACTCCACGCGACCCGGCGGAGCTGGGCACTGTCGGAGCTTCTCTCCGGTGCGGTCCGTGTTCCGCAGGGAGGCCGAGGGTCGTGCGCACAGCGGTGCGGAAGCAGAGACGGAAGAGTCTGTCTGCGGTCGTGCTGGTGGCCCAGGGGATGGCAAGATTGATTTACTGCTGTGAATAGATGTTGGAGAATAAGGGTTAATTCACATTTGGAAGCTTGAGATTGTCTCTGCATTAGCGTGAAGTTCTGTATTAAGAAACATTTCACACACCTTGTTCATGTCCAGATCCAGTGGGAAGCACCTGGAGGCGATGCTCTGAACCGGGCGGAAGTCACTGTGACTTCTTTCCACGTCGCACTTCTGTCTTGGCACAGAGTTGTCCTTTGTTCAGAGTCCCTGAGCCGTTTTATGTTCTTTTTCAGGAAGAATGAGGTGAGCTGGAGGCCTCACTCCTGGCATGCCACCAAGTTCTCCGACAGCCACCCCGAGACGGCAGCAGCGCCGTTCCCCACCGCCAGCGCCTGCCCTTCTTGGCACGGCCGACACCACACCAGGTAGGCACGCGTTTCCCACCGGGATGGGTGGTGTCCGTCGCTTCCCAGCCTTGCCACGAGAGCACCTCTCTCCACTTCAGAACGGTTTCATGTTTCTGATGAGGAAAAGCCACTAGCACACCATTACTGGTAGAACTTTCCAAGTTTTTCAGAGTAGCGAGGTGTCCAACCTTTGGGAACAAAAACTGAAATATCAAGAGCAAGGATGAGTACATGTGCGTCCTCCTTACGGTGCTCAGTCCGTCAGCAGCCTGGGAACTGGGCTTCTTGCCTGAACGCCGTTGGGCCAGCTGCCGACCTGACTGGGACAGCTACCATGCCACCCACTTGCCCACAGCCACCGCCATTCTTTGGAGATTTTTGTGCCTAGATTGGAAGACAGGCGCTACCTACCGGTTCAGCAAGTGTAGCTCACCGAGGCTCCCAACAGTTCTGGGAAGCATCAGCACCCTGTCCCCAACGCCCAGGCTCTCCTGTCGCTGGGGACAGAGGAAACCAGGGCTTCACAGCCCACACGCCAGGCTGGCAGCCAGCCTTGAGGGCCCAGTGGTGGTTCCCACTAAGTGTGAGACCAAGATGGTGGGAGCTGTAGGTCAGCAAAAGGAGGGGGCGTTCTAGTCGACGCGGCGTCCACATATCAGGTGCAGAAGTGCTGCTGGATGAGGTATGCGTGTGACAGCCCCACAGCGGTGTTGGCTTGAGGAAACTCCAGCTAGGCACACGTCCTCTTGGGTCAGCCCCCAGCGTCGTCACAAGTCTCGTATTAAAAGGATGACGGTGACAAGTATTGTGGGTTTGGGTATGTGTGAGTGCACGTATGAGTGTGTATGTCTGTGTGTGTAGGTGTATCTGTGCATACCTAGGATGTGTGCACATGTGTGCATGCGTGTGTGTGTGTTTGCGAGTGTGCGTACATATCTATTCTGTAAGTGCATTTGTGCCTGTGTTTGTGGAGGTCATGTAACCACCTCAAAATCAACATATTTTTTAAAGATTTTATTTATTTGACAGATCAAAAGTAGGCAGAGAGGCAGGCAGAAAGAGAGGGGGAAGCAGACTCCCCGCTGAGCAGAGAGCCCGATGTGGGGCTTGATCCCAAGACCTTGGGATCATGACCTGAGCCGAAGACAGAGGCTTAACCCACTGAGCCACCCAGGCGCCCCAAAATCAATTTTTTAAAAAAAGATTTATCTATTTGGGAGCGAGAGAGTGAGCGAAAGTGTGCACACGTGCACAAGTTGGGGGCAGAAGGAGAGCGAGAATGTCAAGCAGTCTCCATGTGGCACACACACTTGGGGCCCGATCCCAGGATCTGAGATCATGACCTGAGTGAAACCAAAAGCCGGACGCTTAATCGACTGAGCCACCCAGGCGCCCCTCGGGATCTATTTTTGATTTTTAGCAAACACTGGTTTGCTGTAAAATCATGCAGTGCTTTTATGAGGGAAGACATCGCAAATACATTATCTACTCAAAGTGACGAGAGACCGTGGTGTTTGCAGTCCAGGGTGTTTTTGAGAAACCATGGGTTCTCAGCTGCGTACTAAAGTTCAGTGGAAGGTGGGCCTCGCCTTTCGTTACTGAGGTGACGTAATGTAATAGGATGTCCATTCAGCCCCTTTGGTGGTTTGTTTTTTTTTTTAAAGATTTTATTTATTTGACAGAGATCACAAGTAGGCAGAGAGGCAGGCAGAGAGGGAGAGAGGAGGAAGCAAGACTCACCGCTGAGCAGAGAGCCAGATGTGAGGCTCGATCCCAGGACCTTGGATCATGACCTGAGCTGAACATAGAGGCTTTAACCCACTGAGCCACCCAGGCGCCCATCTTTGGTGGTTTCTTGATTAAAGACGCACATATGCTGCCCACATTTGTGTGGAAGCGGTGCTGAGCCTTGTTCCTATCTGCCAAGATTGAAGTCCGCATGGGGAGAGCACCCTCAGGGCACTGGGGGAGGACAGAGTGGACGGTGCTCCGTGTCTGAGGAGCACCTGCTGCATCCATCTAGGGAAGGGTGTAAAACCCCCACAGTCCCCTCCCTTCAGGAAAACCTCCCTGTCCCGGGGAGCCATGAGACCTTCAGGGCATGTAGGTATAATCCCTCTCATTGTGTTTTATTTGTCTTGTTGCTGTTGTTGTTAAGAGTCATTTAGCTGGTTCAGTCTGCTGGCTGGGTTGACACGGCTTGCTTTCTTATCCTGGTTCTCCCCAGACCTAAAGTAGCAACAGTTGTGGGCAGTAGGTTTTGTTTTTTGTTTTTCTGTCCTCGAAGCCTGAAGATTCCAGCTCTGTTGAGCTTTCATGAAAGTGTTTTCAAGGCTGGATAAAGAGCTCGCCGTGGAGGGCCGTTAGGCTCCCCTGTCCTGTGACGGCCTGGTAGATCGCAGACTTCCGTGATGAGCCATCACCCAGCTTGTAGCGTAAGCCTGGCTTTTGCATTTCCTCCTCCTAGACCCCGTGCTAGTTGCAAACCGGAGTGTTTGGTGTCCGGGTACAGCTCCGATGAACTCTGCCAGGCGTCATGAGGCCCCGGGCCCCGCAGTGTCGTGTTTTCTGAAAACGCCTGTCGCTGGAGTTCCCAGTCACGTGTTGCCTTCACTGACAGGTGAAAGGAGTTGATGGTACTTGAATGCTTAGGTGTGGAAAAGTCACATTATCCCTGCACCTCCTGCATTTTTTAAAATTTATTTGTTATTGTTTAGATATTGTCAGAGGAAGAGTGAGTACAGCCGGGGGAGCGGCAGGCAGAGGGAGAAGCCAGCGGCGGCTCCTCACGGAGCAGGGAGCCCCATGTGGGGCTCAGTCCCAGGACCCCGGGATTATGACCTGAGCCGAAGGTAGACGCTTCACCGAATGAGCCGCCCCAGGCGCCCCTGGATGTCCCCTTTCAATGTGAAAGCTGTTGTCCCTTCCGTCGGTTCTTCTGTGTTAATCATCCGAACAAAAATCCTTTCATACGCACAGCCTGGGGGTCCACAGACCTGCTCTAGAAAGGGTCATGTAGGAAGTATTTTAGGTTCCGTGGGCCCGTGTCTGTAGCCAGTTCCCCAGCTCAGAAGCAGTCGCAAACGGTGTGTACACGGACGGACCCTACTGGGTTTTTTTTGTTTTGTTTTGTTTTGTTTTTTAGATTTTATTCATTTATTTGACAGAGAGGTCACAAGTAGGCAGAGGCAGGCAGAGAGAGAAGGGAAAGCAGGCTCCCCGCTGAGCAGAGAGCCCGATGCGGGGCTCGATCCCAGGACCCTGAGATCATGACCCGAGCCGAAGGCAGAGGCTTAACCCACTGAGCCACCCAGGCGCCCCCCCTACCGGGTTCTAATCACACTTTATCTGTCAGCAGTGACATTTGAATTTCTTGTCATTCTCATGAGTCCCAAAATGGTCTTTTGATCCATGTGCCCCAACCCTTTAACTGCCTAACACCCGTGCTCACGGGCTCTGGTCTGCCAGCTGCCGTACTTCGTGACGGAGGATGAAAGCGCTCCCGTAGGCAGAGTCTCCCCACTGCTGACCGCTGTGTTTCGGCGACCCTGAGGGCAGGAGTGTGCACAGCTAGCACGTGAAGGCATGTGTTTGGGGAAAGAGCATCGAGCGGGTCGGGCTGGGTCTTTTCAGCCTGTTGTCAGAGTTACTCTTTAAAATGCTGTGCTGGTGCCTCTCGCTCTCTCACTCCTGCCTCTCTGCCTACTTGGGGTCTCTCTCTATTAAATTAAGGGGAAAAAAAATCCAAAAAGGGGTGCCTGCGTGGCTCAGCGAGTTAAGCCTGGGCCTTTAGCTCGGGTCATGGTCTCACGGTCCTGGCATTGAGCCCTGCCCGGGGCTCTCTGCTCAGCGGGGAGCCCGCCTCTCCCTCTCTCGTTCCTGGGTGCCCGGGTGGTTCGGTCGGTGAGGCGTCTGCCTTTGGCTCAGGTCACGGTCCCGGGACCGAGTCTCACATCAGGCTGTGTGCTCAGCGGGGAGTCTCCTTCTCCCTGTCCCTTGGCCTGCCGCTCCCCCTGCTTGTGCTCTCTCGCGCGCTCTCTTTTTCTGTCAAGTGAATAAAATCTTTTTAAAATAAATTTTAAAAAAGTAATGCTGTGGTGAGGTCCGCCGTCAGGTCCCGTGACCCTGTTCTGGGCAGAGTTCTGGGCGTCTGGATGTGTCGTGCGGGCCAGCGGCATTCAGTGCGCGGTGGCGCTCATCTGTCGCTGCTTGTGGACTCTAAATCAGACTCTTCCCTGTGCGCCTTCCCTCCTAGCTCCTCGTCTCACGACCTGTCGGGCCCGTGGGAGCAGTCGAACCTGCGGCGAACCTCGGACCACTTCAGCTGGCTCGGGAGCGTCGACAGCCTGGACCAGCCTTCCCAGCACGACCCGGCCGGACGCCTCTCCGCGGCCAAGTCCAGCAGCAGCATCGACCACCTGGGCGGCCAGAGCAAGCGGGACTCGGCCTACGGCTCCTTCTCCACCAGCTCCAGCACGCCTGACCACACCCTGCCCAAGGCCGACGCCTCCTCCGCAGAGAACATCATCTACAAAGTGGGCCTGTGGGAGGCCTCCAAGCTGGGCGGCAGCCGGCAGGGCCAGGCTGCCAGTGATGCTGCGGGCCTGGAGGAGAGGCTCGGGTACTTCCCAGCCCGGGCCCCCTGTGACAGCCGCAAAAGCCCCAGGCCGGAGGACAGTCCTGAGGCCAAGCTGGCCACCGCCGGGAGGTCAAATTTTGGGCCCGTCTGGTATGTCCCTGAGAAGAAAAAAGCACCTTCGTCCCCTCCTCCGCCCCCTCCGCCTGTCCGCAGTGACAGCTTCGCGGCCACCAAGAGCCACGAGAAGACCCAGGGCCCTCCATTCTCAGAGGCGGCCAACGTGCAGCACTTCCTGGGCCTGACCCGGGCCCAGCCCTGCGGCGACTGGAGAACAGAAGCTGCCGATCAGTGGAGGCCGGTGCATCCCAGTGGCGGGAGAGCCGTCGGGAGTTCGGGCTGCGCGCCGGACGTCCCCCTGGACGGGGCGGTGCTGCCCTCCGACCACGGGGCTGGCAGCCTCCCAGGGGCTCCCGGCCGGCTGCAAGCCTCCCTGTCCAGCACGGATGTGCGCTTCCTGCCGTCTTCCCACAGCTGCCAGCACCCACGCCAGTACAGTGACGACAGCCCCTTCTCCCGCGAGGGCCCCAGGACCGCCACGTCGCTGAGGGAACAGCCCCGCCTGGCCATCCCCGGGGGCCGCCAGGAGCCGCCTGCTGGCCGTTTCCGGGACGACAGCCCCCCTCAGGTCAGGTGGCCCGGTGCCACCAACCAGAAGGGGGATGGCGGCGGGCAGAGCCGCTACTACTGTGTCACCAGCAGACAGTGCCCGCAGGGGGGCACGCAGGCAGCGTGGCTGCACGAGGAGGCCTCACAGCCTGGCGTGGCCCCAGGCGCCCCCGAGTACCCTGCCCTCCACCCGACGGGCCAGAGGCCCCAGTGCTCCCTGCTGCAGCCCCAGGTGGCCGCAGGCCCCCCCGAGAGAGACGGGAGCGATCCGGGGGACCGAGGGGCAGAGGGCCGCTCCGCAGCACGTGAGGACGCGCGGGAAACCAGGCCCGTGGCAAAGGCCGGCACGAGGGGCTCTGCAGACGGCTTCGCGTGGGCCGACGGCGAGAGCAGCCAGATCTCCCGTCAGAAGACCCCCATGCTGCACTCGCTGACGCGGGAGGGGACGCGGCGGCCCGAGAACGGGCAGGAAGCCCACGTGGAGAGGCCGCCCCCGACAGATGTCCCAGGGGGCAAACCGACGCGGCGGAGTGACCGGTTCGCCACCACCCTGAGGAATGAGATCCAGATGCGACGGGCCAGACTGCAGCAGAGCAAGGGCACGGCGGCGCTGACCGGGGTGGGGGGCGCGGCGGGGGAGGCCGCCGGCTGGGGGGCGCCGCCCGGGGCTGCCGCCAGCGCCACCCCAACAGGGTCCTTCACGGGCACCTACAGAGACCACGTGAAGGAGGCCCAGGCCCGGGTGCTCAGGGCCACTTCGTTCAAGCGCCGTGACTTGGAGCCCAGCCCAGCCGATCCTTACGCAGGGTCACCGGAGCACCGGGCTGAGGACCACAGGGCCAGTCCAGACCCGGCCTCCCGCGTCTGGGAGGGGGGCCCGGCCAAGCCGTCCCCGTCGGGAGCATGCGGGCTGCACGTTCCCCGCATCGGAGGCCGCAAGCGGTTCACGCTGGAGCAGAAGCTGAAATCCTACTCCGAACCAGAGAAGATGAACGAGGTGGGGCTCTCGGGGCACGAGCGCCCTCAGCAGCACCCCACGACGTCCGACGAGACGCTGGGCACGTTCGCCGACAGGTGGAAGTTCTTCGAGGAAACCAGCAGACCCGTCCACCAGAGGCCGGGGCCGAGCCCAGCACGCTGTGGTTTCCCAAAGGAGAGGCTGGAGAGGCCGCAGACAGCAGGCCGCGGGTACGAGGGTGCAGAGCCTTGGTTCCAGAAGCGGGCCCGCACTACCTCCTTTGGAGAGCACCCCAGTGGTCACGGAAACGTGGGGAAGGTCGGAAAACGGGAACCGCCCCAGAGACTTGGGACGTTTGCTGAGTATCAGGCCTCTTGGCGGGAACAGAGGACAGCTCTAGAAGGCAGGAGCTCCGGGCGGTACCACTCAGCCGACGACATCCTGGACGTAGGTCTGGAGCAACACGAGAGGCCGCAGTACGTTCATGGACGGTCCCGGTCTTCGCCGTCCACGGACCTCTACACACAGGTAAACCTGGGGCTGCAAGCAAGGGAGCTGTCCCCCGCCTGCCGTCCTAACCGCTCAGAAAGGAGGCCCCGAAATAGAAGGGCCCAAATCAGTGTGACGTGTGCCCAGCTGTTTGAGCACCTGTGTGCTGTAGCCCTTCCGGCGTGGCCCTGTTGGAAAGGGCCCTGGGGACAAATCGGGACATTCGTGACCCCTGAAGGGCCATCTTGGCATGCAACTCTCGAGTCCCCAGCCATCTCCTCCTCTGTCGCTACAGCTGTCTTTCCCCAGGATGACCGTGCCCCGGCCTTAACACCACACAGAGAATTTGGCGGGGGGGATGGGGGGGTGGGTGTGTGGCTAGAAAATGGCTGCTTCTCCTCTGAACTGGAAAGTGGTGCTTTGGGGAAAGGGGTGAGACAGTGTAGGGTGGCCTGTCTTCAAGACTTTGGGCCATTTACAATTTTTAGTGTTTGTTCTTTTTTCATTTTTTCAGGTTTTGATTTTTTTTTTCCAAATATTTTTAGAGATCGCTGCAGGGCCGATGTAAGTTAGCATGCAGTGCATTAAACCGTTGCAGTTTTCATCAGGTGAGAGTTCTGACAGTCAAGGGTGACGTTAAACTTGCTGGAAAAGCGGAGTACTTGGAGCCATAGTCAAAGTCCGTGCCACGCTCACCCTCCCTCTCTCTGCCTGTTCTGCCTCTTAAACCTGCCTCTGTGTGTTTCAGAGAAAAGGCTTACAGGGCGCGATTCAGTTTCTTTTCCCAAGAACGAGTCTCAGGCTCGGGACACCACAGTGTGTCTGTGTGTGTAAGGAGTGCCGCCTGTTTGTCCGTGGCGCCCCCGAGCTGACAGGCCTGCCGCCGCCGCCCGTGTGGCTCTCTGTCGTGGCTGGGTCCCAGCGTACGAGCTACGTGGCCTGACCTCGGAGCCTCCCATGCTTGCTCAGGCCGGAGAGAAGAGCCCCGGACTCTGACCAGTGCTAGGGCTTGAGGCTTTGCCGTAGCGAGCTGTCACCGGCTGTGTGCGGGCTGGTTTCTGTCTCGTTTCTGCTTGGGCTGGCTGTGTCGCGTGGCTCCACGGGCCTCCCTCCGGCCTCCCGCCCTCTGCCCAGGACAGACGTGGACTCATGGTCTGGTGCATTCGTTTTGACAGACCGGTTTGGAGAGCTGAGCGGGCCGGCCCCATGGCCGAGTGTCAGCCCGGGACGGCAGGCTGCGTCACTGCCTCCGTGGTCCGGGCCCGCAGGGCAAACCCACAATGAGGGGGTTGGTAATAACAGACGTCGTACAGAAGGCAGCTCGATGACTCGGTGTCTCACTGTGCTGCTCTTGGCAGGAAGCTGCCATCGGACCGCAGCAGCCCGTGGGGGACCCTGGTGAGCGCAGAGAACGTTCCTCCGCAGTCTGGGCCAAGGAGGGACAGCCCCGTCCGAGGTAGGTGAAGTTTGGGTGTGGGGTTGCGAAGAGGACGTGTCGGGGGTGGCCTTCTTTGTGGTGTCCGGGTGCCCGGTGAACGTGCCGGGGCGTGTTTGTTGCCAGAGCCGGAGCGGCCGCCAGCAGCTGTGGATTGCGGTGCACGCGGTGCGGGCGGCGCATCCTAGGCAGAGCCCGTGGGCCGGCACCGCTGCCGGGATTAGGCTCCCCGGGCCCGAACGCCATCGGGGCGTCCTCGGGGCGCAGAATGGCTGCTGGGTTTGCTGGACAGCGAGCTTCTTTATGTGGAGACGATGAGAACTCCGGTGTCGCGTGTGGGAATGGAACCCTTCCTGCAGATTGCGGGATCGGGGGTGTGCTGGGCCGCTCGGGCGACGTGTCCACATCGGAGTCGCCCGGATGGGTTGTCAGGAAGGAACAAGCCAGGTTTTCTCAACGGGGCTTCTTTTCAGCCTGAAAATAGAAACCAATTCCGTGGGACCCTCGGAGGGACAGAGCATCTCACGGGATGGCGGATGCCCGAGAGCAGGGCGCTTCCGGGCCATGTGCCATACGTAGTTCTAAAACGCGGCCAGTGTGGCTGTTCAGCTGTACTGAGGATGGATGGATACGTGGATGGGTACGTAGATGGACAGACAGACTGTCATCTCGCCCTTGACACGCGTGAGGAGGGAGGGAGGGAGGGGAAAAGGGTAGATTGCTCTAGGACCTGTGGGGTCACCTTATTTTAAAAGGGCTGATAGAAGCATGGAAATAAATGTACACAGTTGGGTCGGTGAATGCGGATTTTTCCGTGGCTTTGAAGAATGCCTGGTGATTGGTGTGATATTCAGAACCTCGTAAGGTTCAGGTGCAGAAATAACCAATTTAGATGTTTGCTTTTAAGGGCCTTCTATAATGGGCTTTTGTTTCGTTGGGCTGTAAACGTGAGTGCTGTTAGCTGTAAGCGAGAGTATCCAATCTTTACGTAGCTCCGCCGGGACAAGAGTGGCATTTTGTGTAGGAGGTCCCTGCAGTTCATGGTCTGCGTGGCTGAGACCAAGCCTCCCTGGCTAAGAATGAACGCCAGGCGAATAATGCACCTACAGCACGCAGCCGTTTCTGAGAAACACAATCAGCGCTTTATTCCCAGAGCTGCTGCATGAGTCTGCGCCCGGCCCCAGCTGTCCCCGTCTGTCCCAGCCCGCTGCCCGGCGCTGCCGCTGTCACGAGGGGGCTCAGAGCCCGCTCGCTTGTGCGGACCCCACGTGTGTCTGTGCACCTGCCCTGGGCACAGCCCTGCCTCCGTGGGGGCGTAGCCCCTGCTGTGAATGGAGGCCTCCCGGGCAACCAGCAGCAGCACCGTGGGTGCGTGCGTGTGCATGTGCGTGTGTGTGCGCGCGCGTGCTGTCAGCGGCACTGTCCGTAGTGAGAGGCTCACGAGCAGCAGCTGGGGGGACCACAGGCTTCCTGTATCCCAGCGCGTGCACAAGCACTCCGAGGAAATTGGTACCGGAGCCTTCTGCTTTCGTGCTGCACAGCTGGCGATTTGTAGAATTGCATGTGCGTGCAGAGGGTGGTGAGGCTCCTTGAAATTCCAGAACAGAAAGCCATTTTCCGCTTTTCTCGGAGAATGTTTGATTTCTCAGGTATCGGTAAGAAATCCTGTACTTAAAACATGAAATCTGGGAATAAAAGAAATGAAAATTCAGGTCAAGGACTGTCTCTTTGCCCACCGCAACCAAAATCCTGTAATGCAAACATTTAAAGACACCTTATGTTTTATGTAAATTTAAAACAATATAAACGTGTATTAAAAAAATAGGAATTACTGAGGCACCTAGTCAACTCAGTCAGTACAGTGTGTGACTCTTAATCTCCGGGTTGTGAGTTTGAGCCCCATGCTGGACACAGAGATTACTAAAAAATAAAATCTTAAAAAAAAAAAAAAAAAAAAAGGATTACTGATCTGATAACTGGTGCAGGATAGTGAATTTTTTTTTTTGAAAGATTTATTTATTTATTTGACAGAGATCACAAGTAGGCAGAGAGGCAGGCAGAGAGAGGGGGAAGCAGGCTCCCTGCTGAGCAGAGAGCCCGATGCGGGGCTCGATTCCAGGACCCTGAGATCATGACCTGAGCCAAAGGCAGAGGCTTTAACCCACGCAGCCACCCAGGTGCCCCAGTGAATGTTTTTAATTGTATTCTGCTGAGACAACAGAATAGCATGGAGATAAGAGTTACCTGTCCATTTACATCACATGGAGAACATTTTTGTGAGGTTCAAGATTCTGTCCTGTGTGAAGATATGGAGGACAAAGGTTCTGCTCCCAAAGGACCTCACCGTGTCGGAGGGAAGGCGAGACACCAGTACTTACCGTGGAAGTGATGACACATAATTAGAATTTTTGTAAAATAATTATGTGGTGCTTCAGAATCTTGGAGGAAAGATGGTGAGGTGACTTCTGCCTGAGTCATGGGGAAGACAGGTGGTTTCTGAGCTGAGAGAAGGCCAAAGCCAGGAGAGCAGATCCCACTGTGTTTGCTTACTGCTAGCTTTTTCTGTGGCAAGCAGCCCCTTTTACCCTCCCGCCCTGGCCTAACCCCCCAGCTTCTCCTGTTTTCTCACAGGTTTTGTACCAGCTCTCTGAGCTTAGTCATTATGACTGGTGGGAGTGTGCTTCCTGCCAATCCCCCCCACAAACTGGGGTACCTCATAAGCTGGATGGAGCAGCTTGCTCGGGCTGTCCTAACCAAATGCCACAGACTAGGCACCATCGACAATAGGAATTTATTTTCTCAGTCTTCTGGAGGCCAGAAGCCCAAGATCAAGGGGCAAAGGGTCAGCGGCTTTGGTTTCTTCCAGGGCTTCTCTTCACAACTGGCACATCGCCACCTCCTCCCCGTGTCCTCGTGTGGTCTTCCCTTGGTGTGTCTCTGCCCAGTCTCTTGTAAGGACATCATTGAGACTGGATGAGGATTCACCCTGATGACTTCATTTTACCTTACTTACCTCATTAATAACCCTGTCTCCAAATAGTCACATTCTGAGGTCCTGGGGGTTAGGACTTCATCTTAGAAATTTTGGGGGGATACAGTGACTCCATAACCCTGGGGGAAATCTCCTTTCTGCCTTATACCTTGGAACCAGTGTGTCAGCTGCCTCGGTGCTTTTGGAAAGTGTCATCCTGTCATTGAGCTGCTGAGGTCACACCTGATGTGGGGGCATTTAAAACAAAAGGAAGAGGGAGACTGCCATGCTCGGTGAGTGTGGCTGGTGAAGAGAGGAGTTCAGCTAAACCTCTCTGGAGGGCTTTTGGGGGGCACATAACCGAAGCCTTTGCTGTTGCAGGCACCTTGTGATTCAGTGATGGCACTGTTAAGCGTTGACCTTCCGAGTATGTGGCCGTGGTGTGAGGAGGTGGGGACTCGGACACTCACCTGGGAGATGTGTGCGTGCACCTCTCCTGCCTCTCACAGGGCCACCCCTACGCAGTCTGCTGGTCTCCCTGCCTGGATGGCTGCTAGTGCCTCCGAACAGAGCAGAGATGGCCATCCTGTCTTTGCTGCTCCAGCACCCCCCATGCAGGGGTTCCGATCTGAGCCACAGTTCCCCTGGTCACCTTGCTGCACAGGGCAAGGCTCACCTCCCCCTGGGCAACACATTGCTCTCTGAGGAGCTCTGGTTTGACTGTCTGAGATCAAATTAAAGCCTTCTTCATCCAAGCTTTCATCATCTCCAGGCTGGACCATGCCTGATACCTCCTTGCTGGTCTTGGAATAGAAATTAAATGATAATTGTCCCCATCGCAAACAATGCAACGGCTTCTGGTTGGACTTGGAATAAAATGCAAGCACCTGACCATGACCTGCAAGGCCCTTTGTGGCCCTCTTCAGGGCAGCCTTTATCAGATTTTTTTTTTCCCATCCAGTCTCAGGACTCATTGCCACCTTTCCAATCGCTTGAACAAGCCAAGTTCATTTCTTCCTCGGGGCCTGATGTTTATTAAAAGGCTGTTCTTGGAATACCACAAGCCTACCTCGGGATATCTACCTAGCAAATGGCAACTGGGTGTTCCTGCTTAGCTGGGGGAGGGGACCTTGTGTAAGCACAGTGACTGGAAGATGGATGGACCAGTTGGCAAGTGGGTAAATGGAGATACTGGTGGGTGGTGGTGGGTAGGTGCATGGATGGATGGGTATCCACCCAACAGCCCTTGGTTCAGTCCTTGGTTTTGGCGAATAATGATCTGTGTTGGTACATTCCGTGTGCTGAAATTTTATGTAACAGTTTAGTTTACACAACAGCAAGGGAAATGGGCTTGTCTTTCTGTCCTGGCATAAATTCAGAATCAAGAGAAACATCTCAACATACATGTATTTGGTAGTGGCCTTGTTTTCCAGTATCCTATTTTAAAGCTTGCAAGAAAGCTAAGTTGTGCTGTGGTCAATTCTTGCTCTCGAGTTTGAGAGTTCAGTGAGTACTGTGTTCAGGGAGGCTCTGGTAGACCAAGGGAGAAGGGAGATTTGGGGGTGGAGTGCGGTGGCTGTGGGTGCTGGCAGGTTCCATCTGCATAGCTGCCTTGCAGGCATTTCCGCCCCCGCCTTTGGGAGCTGCTGCCAGCGGGCTGGCACTGACCTGCAGGCTTGTATCTTGTTGGGACAGATGAGCGAGGGGGAGGAGAGTGAGAATATATCATTTTACAACATGTAAAATTGAATCCGTATGGAATCGAGCTCCTTAGGGAAAACGTGCTTCAGTGTAAAATTCATAAACAAGCTAAACCGTGGGGGTCCCCTTCCTGTATGTTTTCCCTCAGTGTGTGCAGAGGTGAATGCAAAGACAGATTTGTCAGTTACAGACAAGCTTCTTACAAACAGATTTAAAAGTAAGAGAGACTGTCCAGCCAAACTCTGCCCCTCATTTGCGGCTTTCAGGAAGACATTTGCTTTTCCTGGCCCTCAATTAGCTAAGGGGCAATTGCAGCTTTCCATTCTGAACTGCTCCGCCAGGTAATTAC